TCTGCTCCTATGATGCTGCTTGGCCTGCTGTGTTCATCCAGCTCTGCACCTTGTTGTCTCGGATTCTCCAGCATCTGCAGTTCCTACTATCTCCGCAGCCAATCCTGCAGTTTCTTGGCTGTTACCAGCAGAATCAGTCATTTTTTTGTTTTAATTAACTCAGCAGACTGATGAGTTACATTGGTCAGGAATTGAACACATGCTACTTGCCCAAGTCTCTAGCTTAGCACTGTAAGACCATCAGACCATAAGACATAGGAGCAGAAATTAGGCCATTCAGCCCATCGAGTCTGCTCGATCATGTTTCTCAACCGCAGTCTCCTGCTTTCTCCCCGTGCCTGCGTTGGTTTCCTCCAGGTGCTCTGGTTTCCTCCCACAGTCCAAAGATGTGCAGGTTAGGGTGGATTGGCCATGCTAAATTGCCTGTCGTGTTCAGGGATGTGTAGATTAGGTGGGTTATAGGTGGATGGCCTAGGTGGAATGTCTGAGGTTCAGTGTGGACTTGTTGGGCCGAAGGGCCTATTTCCACGCTGTAGGGATTCTATGATCTATGAACCCTTGATCCCCTTGACAATCAAGAACTTACCTATCTCAGTCTTAAATGTACTCAATGACCTGGCCTCCACAGCCTTCTGTGGCAGTGAATTCCATAGATTCACCACTCTCTGGCTGAAGAAGTTTCTCCTTATCTCCGTCCTAAAGGGTCTTCCCTTTACTCTAAGGCTGTGCCCTCGGGTCCTGGACTCTCCTACCAATGGAAGCATCTTCCCAACATCCATTCTGTCCAGGCCGTACTCTGATGACACAGCATCCCCCTATCTTTAGGAAAGATAATGTTACAGTTCCTCTCAGAACTGAGAAAGGAGTGAAGCTGTGGAATTCTTTATCGCAGAGGGCTATCGAGGCTGCATCATTCAATATATTCAAGGCTGAGATAGACAGCCTTTTAATCAGGAATGGAATCAAGCGTTATGGGGAAAGTGGTGTCAAAGTTTATCAGGTCAGCCACAATCTCATTGAGTTCCAGAGCTGATACATAGAGTCATAGAATCATAGATGTTTACAGCATGGAAACAGGCCCTTCGGCCCAACTTGCCCATGCTGTCCAGTTTTCACAATTAATTTTCCCATATTCCTGCATTGGGTCCATATCCCTCCATACCCATCCCATTCATGTACCCATCTAAATGTTTCTTAAATGACAAAATTGTATTCGCTTCCCCCAGTACCTCTGGTAGCCTGTTCCAGACACTCACCACCCTCTGTGTGAAAATATTGTTCCTCTGGACCCTTTTGTATCTCTCCCCTCTCACCTTAAACCTATGTCCTCTGGTTTTTGACTCCCCCTGGGGAAAAGCTGTTGGCTCTCTACCTTATCTGTGCCTCTTATGATTTTATAGGCTTCTCTAAGGTCACCCCTCAGCCTCCTACACTCCAGGGAAAGAAGTCCCAGCCGATCCAGCCTCTCCTCATAACACAAACCTTCCTAATAAAGGGAGCATCCCAACAAATCTTTTCTGCATTCTTTCTGGTTTAATAATATCCTTTTTATAGTCATGCTACAGTATGTGGCCTCATCCACGTCTTGTGGCAACAAAGCATCGCAACTCCTATCCTCAATGCTTTTGATGTCTACTTCTGCTCCTACAATTTCTGGGCTCAAACTATTCCCAATTTTCTTTAATGCAAGCGTGAAGCAACGCAACAAAACTACCTTTCACTGCTTAACTGATTTCAAAAATCACGTTCTAGTGCTGTTTTCTATTGTTGGTGAACCGTGGTTTTTGTTTGGACATTTCTGTTCTCGGGTGTGAGACGTTTGCAGTGGAGTGTTTGTCTGACTTCTTGAACAAATTCGGGTTACTCCCACCGAAATAGGGCAGAGGAAGAACCCACAGCCCTCACGCCTGCTTTCCCTTTCTCCCCTGTCCCCGAAAATATCCCACCAGTAACCCACGCTGAGGCGTTGACCAGTCGTGTGGTGACACTAACTCTGCATTTTAAACGTACCTGAATTTGGGCGGTTGTGCATTCAGGGACAGCGTCTATGTCTGCAAAATCAGAAGGAAAACAGTGTTTAAAGAAGTTTAGTTAACGTCTCCCAACATTTCCCTCCCCTTTCCAAACATTCAGGCAATGTACCCTTCCCTCTCCTCACTGTCTAACGCCCAAAATGCTCCTTCCGAGTTCAGCACTGATGTCCATGTGTAGCTAATTTCACGACTGACAAAGCAGTCTGCAATGTACAGCAGAGTCCAGTTGGAGACTGGATGACCTCCTGGCAGAACAGCCAAATCCGCAGGGAGGACCCTAAGCGTCCAGTGTGCTGTCGTTTTAATTCCCCACATTGCACTCACTGACATCTCTGTCCTCGGCACGCTGCTGTCCTCCAATGGAGATCAATCTCTTCCGACTGAACAATGTACTCGCTTCCAGACACAGTACTGAGCTGAACTGTTGTGGCTTGTAGCCTCACTTAATCCATTTCTTTCTACGCCACTCACACCTCGTCTGGACACCTCTTCAGTTTGACGTCATGTCCAATAAACACTCGCTTCTCCTGAACGTTTATGCGATTGAATCTTTCCCATCTTTCCCCTCAACAGAAACCCTAACCCTGACTTTTTTTTTGACCTCTTTCCTGCCTTACTTTGTAGGAACCCAACCCCATTTCTCATTTTCCTCAGTTCTGATGATTGGATTTGACTTGTAGTCACGTGTACCTAAGTACAGTGAAAAGCTTTGTTTTGTGAGCAGCACAGGCAGATCATAGCAAACAGGGACGTATGGATCACAGAGCACTTAAGACAGAGCAAAGCATACAAGGTAACACCACACAGGGGGTGCGCAACAGCCAGATCAACATTATTTGAAGTTAGAGAAGTCCATTCAGCAATTAATAACAGCAGGGAAGGAGCTGTTCCTAAACCTGCTGGTGCGTGTGTTCAAGCTTCTGTATCTTCTGCCTGATGGAAGAGTGTATAACCGTGGTGGGAGGGGTCTTTAAGAATGGTGGGGAGGTGTATGGGTATGTGCGTATGTGTGGGTGTGTGTGTGTGATTTGCTGAAGGATTGTGTTTGCGAGTGTGAGAGAGTATATGTGTGTGTCTGTGTGTGTGTGTATGTGTGTGAGTGTCTGAGTGTGTGTTTATGTGTGTCTGTGAGCATGTGTGTGTGTGTTTTGCTGAAGGAATGTGTGGGTGTTTATGGGTGTGTGTGAGAGAGAGTATGTGTGTGTGTGTATCTGTGAGTGTGTGTGTGTATCTGTGAGTGTGTGTGTGTGAGAGTATGTGTGTCTGTCTGTGAGTGTATGAGAGTGTGTGTGTGCCTGTGAGTGTGACAGTGTGTTTGTGTGAGTGAGTCTGAATCTGAGTGTGAGAGAGAGTGTGTGTGTACGTGTGTGTGAGAGTGTGTGTGTGTCAGTGTGTGTTTGCCTGTGAGTGTGTGTGTGTGTGTGTGAGAGAGTGTGTGTGAGTGAGAAAGTGTGTGTGTGTGTGTGCGCGTGTGTGTGTGTGAGAGAGAATGTGAGTGTGTATGTGTATGTGTG